ATTAAGATTTAAAACTTCTCAACCAAACATCTAAGAATAATAGAATATCAAGCTTAGTTCTATTATGTAGTATTAAGACTTTTAGAATGATATTTTTGTAAAGTTTAGCTGAAAGTATCAAAATATCATTTTAAGAACAAATTAGAAAAATATCATTTTAAGAATAAATTAAAAATTTAAGGTTTTAAGAGTAGAGTTGCAAACTAGTTTTGAGGGATAGAGTTGCAGGTAAATTAGAATTTAAAATTAGGGTTAGACTGCATGATTAAGAAGGAAAAATAAATTAGGAAATATGGAGATGTTCTATTTTTATTTTTAATTAAATTAATGGAGTTATTATCTTGTAAAATAAGAAAAACCAAATTTAAAATATTACAAAAAATTTATTATATTATTTAATTAAGTTATCTTGTAATTATGTTTTATTTTATAATTGAGTAGTTTAAACAGTTTAAAAGTAAAACTATAAACATTAAACCAACTATATTGGTTTTAAAATTTTATAATTCAAACGAATCTAATTTTATATCCGTTTAGTTTAGCTTTTTATTATATTTGATTAATTTAAATTGAATTAATCAGATTGGATCGAATATAAACACTTCTAATAATCATGGAGTTCCATTTTCTTAATAGGTATGAAATTGAACAATTTACTAAAACTATAAAATAAGTGACAAATACAAATCGTTGACTCTCACTCCCTCACTCTTGCAGTAATGTATATCATTGGAAATAGGAATTTGGGAAAATTCCTATTGGGAACTTATCTAGTTATGCAATATATAACAAGGCATAAAAGAAATATAGATTTCATGAACATTAAAAAGTACTAATACCAAAGGACATGGCTTTTGTTGGCACTTTGGGTTTTGATATGCATGGGAAGCATGGTACTCATGTTGGCAAAGGGGCTCTAGCTCCCTTCACAAGCTTCGCCAGCACAAGTTTTCAAAGGATCAGGAATGATGGGCACATGATTGGAAGTATTCGGTGGAGATTGGGGAGGCTTGTGTTTGTTCGGAGACTTGGCCAAGAGGAATAGGATGCCATTGGTGAAGGTGATTATGTTTTGTAAGGGGCTCTAGTTCCTTTCCACAGTTTGGGCAGCAAGGGATTGAGGACGATTGGTAAAGCGGAGACACATGCTTATGCTGAGGGGGTTCTTACCCCTCTTCCTATTGGGTAATTTTGTGATAGGGTGGCAACATGCAAGTTGGGGATTGTTCGTTGTCGGAATCTCTACTACTATTTGTTGTTGGAATCTCTACTCTCCCCATGAAACTAATTAAATAGGCAAGAAAGTCCAATAGTTTTGATGCTCATAATGACTCTCTTTTTTACATTTGTAGCCCTATTTAACTCATACAGCGATTGCATTCGCAATCTTTAGTTACAAATAGCTCTCTTTACTTAATTGTTTATATTCGTCATCGACATAGTTTAAATCTATTATTAGTGCGGTAGGTTTTGCTTTTGATTTTATTTTTAAACTATAATGTTTTAGGCTATATGCTCCTTATGAAGATTTCTCTTGTATTTTCTTATTATTTAATATAATTTTCTCCCTTTCCTATCAAAAAAAGAAAAAAAAGTACTAATTCCAAGTTGCGCTGGAGAATAACAAAAACAAATTTTAAAAGTAGTAGCAAATTAGCAAAACATTTGGAGATCCCGCTATAATCCCACAACTTAATTTCTCATAAAAAAATTAAATCTTCGGAGTGTTTTCACATATTAAGAGATATTTAAGAAACGAAGGGGGAAAAGAGCACTCTGTCTTAGGCAGAGATCGAAAGAAAAATATTGATTGTAGAAGGCAGTTTTTTATATTTCTCTTTGAAACATGTGTAAGAGGCAATTCTTTGCCCCTATATTCTCTACATAGAAAATCAATGAAATTTAGTAGAGATTGTGATTTCCTTGGTTTCAAACTGATTAAACAACAAATTATTAAGAAATGGGTCTCATTTTCTTCCCTTTAAGTTATCATTTTCTAAACACTACCTATGAGATTGACTATAGAAATCCACTAATAACGGTTAGGAATTACATTTTACTTCATTTTGAATAGACTTTACAGAAAACATAAACCATATAAGTACATAGAAATTCTATAGCCACGCCAACGTTAATTAAAACTCATCCATCATTTGATGACACCCAAATATGATTGACCCTATAAACACTACAATAAATTGGATTTTCAATGACAAAAAATTGAGACGAATGTTGAAATAAGCACTATAACTCATCACATTTATGACAGAATTTAAAAAATAATCACAAATGCAACTATATTCAATAATGATAAAAAGAATTCATCATTAAAAAGATATTTTATTATTGAAAAATGGTCATAAATAAAAAATAAGTTTGTAACAATAAAAATCATCACTATAATTCATCCTAATTAAGACAAATTTCAAATATTGATCACATATACCTTACACATTCAACGATAACCAAATAATTCATCAGTAAAAATTGTCACAAAAAGAATACATACTTGTGATAATAAAAATCATCACTACAATTTAGCCTTATTTAAGTTTTCTCTAATCAATGCATCTTACATCAGTAAAAAAATACATAAGAAAATATTATTTTGCACTATAAATATATCTCATATTGATAAGAAATATTTAAGAAAATAAAGTTTTATACTATAAAACATGTGAAGCTCAATAAAATTTGAGCTTAGTTTGGGCCTAATTAATTTTAATCAAGCTTGATTAATTTTTAATCAAAATTGATTAGTATTGAAATAATAATATTTTATTAAATTTTTGTGATAAATTTATATATCAATTTTTTATGGCATAATTTTTGTTACAATATTTGTGTTGCAATTTTATAAATATCTTTTTAATTTAATATCAATTTTAATAATTAATAACTAAATTTTTCATCACAATTACATTTGTGACTATTTTCTTTTGTTACTCAATTGTAACATTTGTGATGAAAATTATTGTAACGAAAAATATTTTTTTTTGTGATAACTAAATTTGTTACAAATAATTCATTAATAATGTAAATTTTTTTCGTCACTATAAATTTTTTTTTTTTGTGATAAATGTTAAATTTGTCACTAAAAACATTCGTAACAAAGGTTTTACTAATAATTTAAAATTTATTATTAATTTTAGTTTACGACGAAAAATAAAAGTTTAGTGATTAATAATTTAGCCACTAAATGTGAATTTTCTTGTAGTGAAATGACTTCTTCTAAATACCTAATTGTCAATACAAATGTACATGTTGGATAAAATTGAATGGGGTTAACTTAGAAGATGAAGAGTAGGCCCGACGAATTTTGTGGCAGAGAGAGGACAAAGCTGATTTCTCATTGTAAATCCTCCTCTTCTGTATTCTACCTATAATAAATACTGGGGATAATTTCCTGCAGAAGTGAGTGAAATTGCAATGTTATTAGTATGTTGATTCTTTGAAAATGCAAGTTAAAGTATGTCAAGAAAAAGACCGGTAGATTTCTTTGTAATCAAATACCTATTCATATTGAGAAAATAAATCCAAAATAATTATATACTGTACTTAAATTTTAGATTTAAAAAATTCTTTAAAATAGAAAACAATGAAAAAAGGTAAAAAATTTAAATAGTTGACACTTGATTCTTTTTTTTTTTTTTTCTATTTTTCCTCCTTTGGTTGCCTCTTTATCTACTACATTTATTCATCAATCAATTACTTTTATCATTTATATATTTTTATTTATTTGTTTTCATCTACCACCTTCATTATCGTTTATAATTTTTCTTTATTTTCATTTATAATAATAATATAATTTTTAGATATTAGTGCATGTTACTATTGATTTCAAAAAAAATTAAAGTTTTAATTTATATTTGAAAACTAAAATCTCAATTTAAAATTCAAAAATTCACTCTATTATATGTTAATATCCAAATTTATGAATTAATTATATATTCTAATATAATTAACTTTTAAATCTAAATATTAACATTTAATAAGATATATTTTTAAATTTTAAATTAATTTTAATTAAATAAAACGATGTAATTTTATATTGAAACTTCAATTTATTTTAAAAGTTGAGACTTATATGTATTTTTTTTCTTATATACAATTTACATATATATTTTACATACTCTATTTAATACATAAAATAACATTTTTTATACATAAAAATTATTATTATATATCTTAATAATTTTAACATCAATAGCTATTATTTTTCCTTTTTTAATTCTTTACTTCTTACGAATAAGAATATAAATTTTAACTTTTTATTTTGGGATTAAAGCCGATAGTCATCCCTCTACTTTGTGAAAAAGGTCAATTTGAACCTTCTACTAAGAAATCATCTCTGGTCCGCCCTTTACTTGTTTTTAAGTTCAACACTTCCTCCTTCTACCATTCGAAAAGTGCGCAGTGTAGTCCCTCGGCCCATTTGATCTCTAATGGCATTATTTTTTACCGCTAAAGTCGCACGGTTAAATTTTGACTAAACGTGTAAATTGTCCTTAAAATTATTATGTAATTATTATTTTAAAAAATTGAAATTAATTTATAAATTAATATTTTTAAATGTTATTAGTAATTATTATTTTAAAAAAACTATAAATATCAATTAAATAAAACAAAATTTATGTGACTTTAAAAAAAAATTGTGTGATCTTAATCACATGTGGGCATCGTTTGCTACTTAGCTTATTTGTGCTTCTTTTGTATGAATTTTATTTGAAAATAATATGATCTAATTTTAATCTCACATTGTTTTATAAATTTATAATTATAATAT